GCCCCCCGCCCATGTGCCTCGCTCGTGCCCGGCTGAGCAGCGGGGGCGGCCGCGCCGGAGCCCCGCGCCGCAGGGACGCGCTTGCTGCATCTTGCTGCCTCGGGTGATCGGCAGGGAGGGGTCGGGGTCGGGGTCGGGGGAGAGGGGGCTGCTGCCGTTCAAGAGGGGGCACCGAGCCGGGGAAGGGATGCCTTTGTGCCCGGTGCTCGCCGAAGGATAGCGCCTTGCAGGAGGAAGGAAAGAAGCAGAGGGGCGAACATCTGCTCATTTGATTGCAGCTAGTTTGCACAGAAGAAATCCGCTTCCCCCCTCTAACTTGCAGGTGCAGCAGGGGAAGTGGAATAGGAGAGGCAGAGGCGCGCAGGCAGCCTCACAGGAAAGGTAAAACGGAGCCGGACATCGCTGCAGGGTCCCTGTCTTCAAGTGTATGGCGGGGGGAGGAGGAGGAGGAAGGGAAGAGAGGGACTTTGCCTGTTAAATAGAGGGGGGAGGATTGGGGAAAGCAAAGGAGAGAGCTGGAGGGAGGGTGTAACAAAGCGGGAGAGCAAGCCAAGAAGGGACAAAAGGGAAAAAGAAAAGGCAGGCAGAGAGGAGGAGGAGAAGGATAGAGGCACGGAGGGAGGGGGACAGGTTGAGAGACAAGTGGAAAAGTCGGGAGGAAAGGGGTGTCACTGATTCCCCTCCTCGCCCCTCTGTGCCGTGCAAAACTGGTGGTGCCTCCTCTCCGGTGACTCTGGCTGGTCTCTCCATATTATGTCTGCACTCCGAAGGAAATTTGGGGACGATTACCAGGTAGTGACCACCTCTTCCAGTGGCTCAGGCTTTCACCAGCAGCAGGCGACAGCTGCGGCCCCTAAGAGAAAGAGACAACGATTTGTGGACAAGAATGGTCGGTGCAACGTGCAGCATGGCAACCTGGGCAGCGAGACAAGCCGCTACTTGTCGGACCTCTTCACCACCCTGGTGGACCTCAAATGGCGTTGGAATCTCTTCATCTTCATCCTCACATACACTGTGGCCTGGCTCTTCATGGCCTCCATGTGGTGGATCATTGCCTACATGCGGGGCGACCTGAACAAAGCTCATGATGAAAATTACACTCCCTGTGTGGCCAATGTCTACAACTTCCCTTCTGCTTTCCTCTTCTTCATAGAGACTGAGGCCACCATTGGCTATGGCTACCGCTACATCACTGACAAATGTCCAGAAGGCATCATCCTCTTTCTCTTCCAGTCCATCCTGGGTTCCATCGTGGATGCCTTCCTCATTGGCTGCATGTTTATCAAGATGTCCCAGCCAAAGAAGCGGGCAGAGACGCTGATGTTTAGTGAGCACGCTGTCATCTCTATGCGGGATGGCAAACTTACCCTTATGTTCAGGGTGGGCAATCTTCGCAACAGCCACATGGTATCAGCGCAGATCCGCTGCAAACTACTAAAAGTAAGTGCAGAATCCTCTTGCACAGGCACGTGCACCTGAAGCTCCCCTCTCCGCCCCCCACTGTCCACTGCTCTGCCATCACCAGTCCTCACACCACTTCATCTTTCCCTTCCACTTGCTGTCCAGGGTTCTCCCTGGCCTTCATCTCAAAGCCACTTTCACCTTGTCCTGCATCCCTGAT